AGTGGCGCTGTGGCTCAAGTGGTAGAGTGCTAGCCTTGAGCTGAAGAGCTGAGGGACAGCGCCCAGGCCCAGAGTTCAGGCCCCACGACTGGACCCCCCCCCAAAAAAAAAACCTGAGGTGAATATTATGAATACCTAGTGTTCTCATTATAATTTAATACTTATCAATAGTCATATGTCATCTATATCATCAATCCCTCTACTAGCATCCCTTGAGTCTGTGCACACATTCCATCCATAATTATTCAATATTTATTTCTAAATGATCACTTAAAAATAATCATGTTTTCACGCCTGTAATCCTAGCTACTCAGGAGGCTGAGATCTGAGGATCATGGTTCAAAGCCAACATGGGCAGGAAAGACCATGAAACTCTTGTTTCTTATAAACCACCAGAAAACCAGAAGTGGTGCTGTAGCTCAAGCGGTAGAGCGCTTACCTTGAGCTGAAGAGTTGAGGGACAGTGCCCAAGCCCAGAGTTCAAGCCCCATGATGGACAATAAATAAATAAATAAATAAATGAAATCATGTTATTGTAAAAAATTTAATAATTCCCTTAATATCATAAAATCGCTAATTAGTGGTAAAATTTCTCCCTATCTTACAGATGTTTTATGGCTCAAATTATCATCTAAACAGGTTGATACATTTCATCTAGTTGATATGTCTTTTAAGTCTGTTTAAACTGATTTATGGGTTGACCTCTTGTTTTTTGTCATTGCAAGTTTTTGCTTGAAAAAAAATCCCAAACATGTGTCATATTGTTTTTCATGTTCCTGTGCCTTAAATAGAGAAACAGAGTTTCATACTGGTAAGGTTTGGCTGTTAGGATAAACCTTTTCTTGCTGTTGCTGCAATTAGTTCTATTAAATATAATGAAGAAAAAGGTATTACACTATGGTGGGGGAAGTTTGCTTAGAAGGTATAGATGACTATCTTTAACTCATTAACCATCATACTGATGTTATATATAGAGAAAAAATAGTTGGAAGAACTTTATTTTTCTAGTATGCTAGGACATGCACGAGAAGATTCAGAGAATGGTAAAAAGCCTTTTTACAAATATTAAATGTAAATTAAAATTATACTATAAGTTATTTCCAGAATAGTTCTTTCTGATAATAATTGAAAACCCTGTAACTTTTAAATAGCTCAATTCACAAAGATGTTATCATTCACTGTTAGAAATATTCTACTTCAAAGAGACTGAACTGTTATGTTTGGAAATGTAAATAGTTTCATCTAATAATCATATACACACAAACCAACAAAAGCTTGGAACAAAATGATATTCAGCACTATAAAAGTCCTTTCAACCATACTACATATGAAAATATTAGTCTAACATTTAAAATGTACTACTGATATACAAGAGTCCTTAATTATGTAAGTAAGTCATTGAAAACCTGTGGACTTTGCTGTATCCTGTAACATAAGCCAATAGCAATCTTATTTTACTTCCAGGAAGCTTTGCTTCAACTACTACAAGAGAATATCACATCAAAGAAGAAAACAATTCCAGTGTAGTGTGCAGGGCACCACCTACCATAGATTTGGGCTTGCTGATGGCCACCAGACTAGTAAGGAAGTCTTCATCATGCAGCTGGCTGAAAACATGGGCATCATAGGCTACCATAATTGAGATTTCTTCCATCATCTTGCCAGCTGCTTTTCCACAGCAGCAGCTGCTCCTCCAGCTCCAGACCAGACTATCCAAGGAAAACTACTGCAGTTCAGTGCCAGTGCACACACCCACCTGCGTTGGAGGGGGTTGAGTGTCAAAAATCCAAAAAGAAAAATGTGAAAAAGCAGCTGCTACCACAGGCTTATCTATCCATTCACCCCCAGTAGAAAACTAAGGGAGGTCTCTTATCTATTCAGGAAGTATATGCTATAAACATCTTCTGCATTCTTGACACAGCAGATGGAAAAATTCAGTTCTTTGGAACTCTTCTTTAAACTTCAAAAAATAGAAATAAAGAGAAGTTTCTTAACTTAGATATATCCTATTATCAAGCACCCCTAAAGTCAAAACATAAAAAGTTGATTTATGTTATATTCTTGAGATTATAAATTTTTGTAATAGTACATTTTCTTACTTCAGTATTGTTACATGAAGATTCTTATTGGAGAAAGTGGATTTCCTTAATGACCTTAGAGCTTATTTTTTCATATTCTTAGAAAATGAACAAAAGACAACCATTTTAATTTCTCAGAATTTACAGAATTCTCAGTGAAGTTAATCTCCTGAAGTATGAAAAAAATTATTTTTTCCTCTTAGTATTTCTGTTAAAAAAGAAGTATCAAAATATAAAAAATGAAATAATTCGTTTGGACCAATAATATCAAGTAGTAATCACTTCCCTTTCTCACACTAAAAAGACAAGTACCTTAAACAGAACTTTATGTTATTATTCTATAAACGGTACAAGATTCTTGCTTATAAACTGCCTCTCTGGATGAATGCTCTCTTTACCTTTTAAATTTAAGGCTGAAGGTTTCTTTTAGTGTTCGATCAGCAGGCAAGAAATTGCTATAAACAATTTGCTGGTACCTTACTTTCTGGAAGTGATTTAAAGGTACAATATGGCATGGTAAATAATAATCTATGTTTCAAGATAAAAAGTTTGGAAGCTGCCCACAAGTTTTTTCTCAGGCTGTCTGAATTGACAGGACATATTACCTATGCTAATTTTACTGAAAACAACCAAGTAAAATAAAATTCCTTAATGTTTCAATATTCCTAGAATGTCCTTTAACCAATACTGTTAACCCCAATATTTCTTTATTCAATATTCCAAATTCCCTGTTTTCTTTTTTGTATATAGCTAACACTACAGTACTATGAAATATGCTTTCTGTTTAGGACCAGAAATCAATTTGGCAATGCATGTCTAAAATCAATAGAAACACAGCTGCTGGATGGAATTTTTAGTAAGTAGCAAGATTATGTTGTTTAAATTTGTTTGCTTTTCAGAAACTAAATAAACAATACTCAGAATGATATGTATAGAATCTATTTTCTCATGTATTCCTAAAGTATCTTTATTTTCCATAGATTCACATGAGTGATTAACTATTTAGTACCTTGTGCATTTAAATGTGATTAGGAGGCTTGTGCAACTTCTATAGTGTAGATTATAAGCCTTCCCACAGGGAAGGCAAAAAAACATCTATTGCTAATAAACAAGAATGTCTAATAGGCTTACTTTAAAAATGCAGTATTTTAAATAAATTCTCAAGATTAAGAAAGCTTAAGTTTGATCCTTGTTGACGCTAGTATTTTTACATCATTCCTCCCTCTACCATGAAGCTTTGGATTTAAAGAGTTACTGCATTAAAAAAAATTCTATTACAATTTATTCTTTCAAAGCTCACTACCCAAGTAAAAAGTAAATGATAATAGGAGTAAAAGCATTATAAGGCACATAGGCAGTTCATACCTTCAAGTTTCTTTTTATCTTTTAAAAGGTACTGTGAATTTCTTCAAATATTCACTAGCACCAGAAGATTTCAGATGCATTTTGCAGAGCAAAAGACGTAAAAGCAATTCCTCTCGCTTTCATATTCTTCCTGTGGTACACTGACTCAGTGCTTTCACACACTGCTATCTGAACAAGGTGCACTGACAAAGACACCTGTTGTGAGAGGTAAACTTCCCATAATGCTTTACTCCCTGCTGGCAACCACCCAGGGGCAAACAAGAATTATGACCACATTTGAGCAGCTGCCTATGTGCCCAGGGAGAGTATATTGAAGGGAACAATAAGTAATCTTGGTTAAGAACACTTTAACCCAAGGAAAAAAAGCACCAGTGAAAACAATGGCAAGCAGTACCTAGCTGCATATTAAACTCATAAAATCTTTAAGACCTAAGAATATAAGTACAAAAACATTTTTAGAAACATAACTTAGGACTAAAGTTTTACATTTACATAAAGAGAAGCTGGCAATTTCAAGCCTTTAGAGTTTTACCAAAGCTTAAATATTTTTAAAAGTTTCTGAGTTACTACCTTCAAATGACTATTCTAACTCACTGAAGTGACTAGAACTAATAGTTCATTTCACTAACATTTTACTTTTAAATCTAAGAGATCCTCTATTTTAGTCATGTACATACATTTTCTTGAGCAGTTTCATGTGCAATCTTAATTTTTTGTCATTTAAAAATACTTTTGAAGATACTTTACTTTCAGAATCTAAGAGGGAAAAATTCAAAGCTTTTTCTTTTTATAACTAAATATTATGTAGTTCGAACAAAAAAGTATGTTCTTTGAAAACTGTTGATCTCTTAAAAAAATTGTGTATGTGTTGACTTTTTCTTTGTTCCTAAATACCTTCTCTACAGCCTCAGAAATAACACCTACACCTCTTCAAACTTTAGCAGCTTTTGTACACTGTCATGTTTACACTCCCTAGCAAGCAAGACATCCTTCCTATTCACCTCTGAACCTGGATTGAGACCCACTGATCTCTCAGAGTTGTTTACACCTGTGTTCCTGCAGTTCTCTATTTAACACCATGCAGCTGCACTGACACTGAAAGGACACACACACACACACACACACACACACACACACATGTTCACAAATAAAATAAAATTTAAAAAAAAAATCCAAGAGTTTCTTTCACATGATTTAAAGGATTCTTCTCAAAGGAAAATTGAATTTGGAACAAAAAAGTATATTTTGTCCTGGAACAATTTTATTAGAACTTTTCCAGATAAGTCAAAATCAATTATCCCCAAGACTATTTTAAATTTCAAATCTGAAAAAGGAATCTAAATATTGTCAGAACATTGTGTAATGTAATGTTTCAACACCTAGACTATTTTAAAGTTTGGTATACATATCAGTATTTTAGAACCCTTCCATACCTTGAAGGCTTTCTATATTAATGACCAAATTCTATTATCCCACACTTATATGTATACTATATTCATACATTATCTACAAGTGATCACATTTCTTGGTAAGTACATCGTTCATGTGGTCATCATCTATGTGTCTCCCTCGTTTTCTCCCTTCCCACTCCTCCTTGGTTTCTTCCACCTAATTCTTTAAAACTGAACCTATCAAACATCTTCAAAACTGAGGTGATGGGCTGGGAAGGTGGCTCAGGGGTAGAGCACTTGCCTTGCATGCCTGAGGCCCTGGGTTCGATTCCTCAGCACCACATAAGCAAAAAGAAAAAAGCCGGAAGTGGCGCTGTGGCTCAAGTG